CTTTTCTTTTCATTTGGTCTCTGCTATGGATATCTTCTTGTTTTTACATGTTCTTATAAAATATCAATTCCTTTTAACTAATTTATGTTCTGATTTTTGCTGCTTGGTGGATTACAAGAAATGTATAAGGGGGATATGAAGTTTTGTTATCAGACATGTGTAAATTTGTATCTTTCGCATTCATTTGAGTTAATTGTTAATTTTCAATCTTACTTAATTATCATTTATCAAATTCATGTTTTTTCAAAGTGTTTGATATATATTCTCTTTTTACTTTAGTTTTTTTTTTTAAACAGGGGATCATTGGAGGCATCAAGACCTACAAGTAAAATCTATACACTTACTTTATAGAGAACCTTCATGTCAAACAAACCCTTCGAATCAAGACATTATTTTCTAAAAAAGTAATGTCTTATCTTATTTTTTCAGCTAACTTCTAGCCATATGTTGCCAAGTTTCAATGAGTGCTGGTGGGACAACATTGTTCTTGATATATTAACCTGCAATGCTTAAATAGTATCATTTAAATGCATATCGACTAGATGAAGGTAATTTCTATAAAGTTTTAATTTTACATTTATTTTACTGGTAGGTATTTTGGCAGGGTGGCATATTGGAGCTTTTTTGTTGGATTTTGCTTTCAATTTGAATCATTAAATTACTTATTTACATGAAATTTGGGCATGTTGAGTTTTTCATACCATAATAATATATGTAATCTTTGAATCAAGATTTATATGAATATGTTATGAACAACGATTCTTTTTTTTTTTTTTTTTTTTTTTTTGAAGTTTTGAGGTCATCTGTTGGTGTTGGCCTTCTTGTATTCGTCATGATGCGCACTTGGAGATTTTATCAAACTTTAAGCAAAAAATATGCTTTCAATTTGTTTACCACCGGTCTTTTGTGGTGACAAAGGGTTAGTTTTAGCCAACGTCAACATATATGTTGTAAATTTTATTCATTTCCAAACTGAAAACTCTCATTATTACAACCATGTTTTTTTATTTATTGAAAATGGAGAAGTTATCGTCATTCTAGACATTGCAAAATGTTTATATGATGCAATTGCTAGAATGGAAAGAAAGATTAAAAGGGGAAAGCAGCTGCAATTAAAGATGTTGAAAACCATTGCGGTCCACAACGGGACTTGAACCCTCAACCTGAAGGAACCAGATACCGCTGGGCTAGAAGCCCTTTGGTAAAAAATTCGTTGAAACCCTACAAGATTAATTACATGTAATTACAATGCGGATTTATTTGTCATATATTTGATTAACTACATGTAATTACAATGCGATTTATTTGTCATGATATAGCTTCCAATAAATTCATTGAAACCCTACAAGATTAATCATTGAAGACTAATTTACCGACTATAGCCTCAGATATTTCAAAGTAGGTAATACATTTACGTTCAACGAAACTACCCATTTCTCACCAAAAAAATTTGGTGGCAAACAATTTATAATATCTAATTTCTTTATGTGGTTTTATCATTGATATTCTTAGTAATGTTATATGATTAACTTATAATGTTGTAGTTGTAATATATAACCGTATTGGACATCTCGAATGAACTGATGACCATAAACGTTAATTACATACTATTAAACTAAGAAGTGTAAATTGTTAGTATTTTTTTGTTTTTGTTTTTTTTTTTGTTGTTGTTGAAAGGTGGAGTTGGAAGTGGAGAGGCTAGATGAGCTAAAAGCAAGAAAAGGAAATAGATTGCTTTTAGGAGACAAAGGGAGCTTGAGGAGAAAGTCTACCATTCATTCTTATATATCTAAGTACCTCTTGTCCCCTTGGAAAGATGGTTTGATATTCATATTTTAAAACTGAAAAGATTTCATGCGTTATAGAAAAAATAATAATGTACTTTCAATCTCTTTTCATATTATAACAGTAAAAAATTTCTGCAATTTGAGTATATTTTTCATAAAATAAACAGTTAATCTAGGCAAGAAATGTTGTGCACAACAACACCATTACATACTAACATTGGCCTTTTTGTGAGGTTATTATCTCAATTACCCTTTTTTTCTCTTCTTTTCTTGAAAGTTAGAATTATTATTTCATCTTGAATCTGTTACAAAAAGGGAGATGGAATTAAGGTGTTTTACTAATTATAGCATTGTGCAGATGGATGTTGGAAGCCTTGCCATGGAGATGACTTTTTTGGTGAGGAGACTCAGTAGAATGTTATGAAAATCTATGTTTCCATAATTTACAGATTTGAATTCTTTCTTCACTGATTTGGTTGAAACTCATTCAAACCCGTGCCAATGGTGCAGAGGGTTTCCGCTAGTTATTCATGAATTCTCAAAACATTTTTTTTAAATGGCGTGTTTAGTGGTTAGCAGTTAGTATTACGAAAGCAGTTAGTATCACAAAACCGTCAACGTCTGGAATAGAACTCGACACTTCTAATCTAAGAGGTAAAACCTCTACTAAGTGAGCTACTCCCACACCAGCAATTCTAAAAACATTGTTACCGATTTTCCCAAATTTTTTTACAACTTTTTTTATTATGCTTTTTAAAATTAGTATTTTTTTTAATAGATAGCTTCTTTTACCTAGATTTTTTTATAGAAATTTATCCTTTTTTTTTTGCATGTTTTTTAACATTTGTTTTTGATTTTTACAAACTTTGTTTAGAAATTGACATCCCACTTTCCAAATATTTTGAATACAAATTTTTCAACAGCAAAGTATAGAAGGCCTCCACCCTAATTTTTATATGAAACAGTAAGGTTGGCAACCTGAAATAAATTGAACTTTATATAAATTGATTGATAATATGTCTAATTTATTTGACATATCATCTCGGATGAGTCTTCATAAAAGAATTTATTATATTGAAATTTTGCATAAAATATAAAAAGGAAACGCCTCTTCTATAACACATATGGAGTTAACATTTAATAAATACACTTTTATAAATAAAGTAAACAACCTATAATTACAATGCAATTTTAAATATATTTAATTGCCCAATAAATATAAGAGAAAATGACTATAATAACCAATTTTCTCAAATTTCTATAAAATAATCAAAAACTTCAAAAAAACTAAAAGTGTCCATGATTTTTGTGTGTGGGCCACCTGCAAAAATGTAGATTTTCACACGTGCTTGCGATTTTTGTTTTTAAACTTAGAACTTTCATAACTCTTGTATATGAACTCAGTTTGAGCTGAATTTTTCATTGTGTTCTTTGCAATAAAGACTTTTCTTTAACATATTACACTCGAAATTTGAATATCAGGAAGTCATTTTTTTGCTTCAAATTAGGCTATTTGGTGGAAATATGAAAAAAAGGGTTTATGTCATTTTTGGTCACTTAACTTTTGGTTTTGTGTTCATTTGGTCACTTAACTCTTTTTAAGTTTTAAAATGACATCAGACTTTTTGGCTTTGTGCTCATTTAGTCACCTAACTTTTGGTTTGGTCACTTAACTTTTGGATTTGTGTTCATTTAGTCACTAAACTTTTAAAATAAAGCTATAAAGATGAACACAATTTTAAAAGTTAGGTGACTAAATAAGCATAATTTTAAAAGTTAGGTGACTAAATGAGCACAAATCCAAAAGTTAAGCGACCAAACCAAAAGTTAGATGACTAAATGAGCATAAAGACAAAAGTTCAGTAACCTTTTAAAACTTAAAATGAGTTAAGTGACCAAATTAGCACAAAGTCAAAAGTTAAGTGACCAAAAATGACCTAAACCACCAAAAAAAAAAAAAAAAACTCAACTTTGATCCTTCATAAATTCCGCATACGAACTCTGTTTGAGTTATTTTTTTACATTGCGTTCTTTGTAACAAGGGCTATATATGAACATATTACACTCCTAATTTGAATGTTGAGAGTTCATACTTTTTTTAGCTCCAAAGTAACCTATTCGGTGAAAATTACGAATTTTTTTTCCATAACTTTCACATACGAACTTCATAACAATCAACGGTCTATCTAGGTTCTCTCAATCACAATAGTGACCTACAAAAATCTCAGAAAAAAAATCGCACGCCACTTAGATTTTCGCTGGTGTTGCTTGAAAAAAATCTCAACAAAAAATCATAAACCACCAAAATTTTTGCAAATGGTGTCTGCAAAAATTATGACTATCATCATCATTTTTATGATTTTTGATTATTTTGTGGAAAACACCTTAACAATTTTGGTTATTATGACCAGACAAATTTTGATCCAGGCGAGCTATAATAGGCCCACGATCTTATCCCATATGATATGATTTTTTACATAATTGAGATTGTTTTAGAATATCCTATCGATATCTCAAGTGGTGTTGTTCTCTGGTAATTTCCATTGAGAATTTCATTTAAACCACCATAGATAGTGTTGGATTAATCGGTTTGGTCAAATGATTCAAAAGCATTTTTTATATCTAGGGGTAATTTAGGAAAGTTTTGTGTTTTTAACTTTTTTTTCCAATTCTTTGTATTAGAGTCAAAGTCTTTTGTTTTAGTATAAATAAGACTATGTTTACGTAAAGTTATATTGATATTTCCATCAATAATTTCAAGGTTAACAAGTCATTCATTTGTTCTTGTTTTTTATTCTTCTTTATTTTATTTATACCTTAGGAACCAAGTTAATATCAGGTGGTATTACTAACACTTGGTATCAGAGAGAAGCGAAGACAGTGCCGGTTTGAGAGTCGATTTTCAAAGGGGAGGAGCCTTCCGGTGCGGGGTTGCCATCGCAGCAGCAGAAGCGAGGTGTTTCGCAACGGTTTTTTTAATTTTTATTATTATTATTTTTTTATATATATGCAGGGAGTAGCAATCTGAAGGTTTGATTGCATAAGAAGGTTCGGGACAGCAGTGGCTAATTCGAGACTGTTTTATAGCAGAAGAAGAAAACAAGTGTTTTCGGGTCGACCGTTGTTGTGGGGAGACGGGGAGCACCGTTCGGGACGACAAGGGTGACCAATGATGAACATAGGCGGTCCATGGCTATTAGTTAGGATTAAAGAATGGTTTGTTTCGAGACGGTCTTAACAAGGGGTGCTGCTTTCGGGATTTCACAGTTCTTGATCGGTTTGTTCGTGATAAGGGGATATCGGCGCAAGTGCATGAAAAGTGGGCATAAAGGATCTGTCAAAGCAGGTGGCTTTGGATTCAGTTCGTTCGACAGGTTGAAAGAAAACGGTGAAACGGGTGGCTTTGTTTTCTTAGTCGGTGGAGATGCCTCTTTGAACAAATGTGATCGAAACAAATGAAGAGATTGGAGAAACTACACGGTGTGAACATTATGCCGTTGGAGTTCAAATCGAATGGCTTTGGATGTGGCCGGGGAGAGGCTATGAATCTGGGACAAGTCTAGATGGTAATGAATGTGTCTAACAGGATGTCATGATATATGTTACGTGTGTTGTCAACAATCAAAGGGATTGAAAGAAGACTTTAGATGTGACCGAGGTGAAGGTTGGATGTACGGAAAAGTTTGAGAATCGGAATGAAAAGGAAGGTGATTAAACGCTGTTGTGAACGAGCTGTACCACCAAACCGATTAAATGGGTGATTGATGGATTAATCGGTTTGGTCAAATGATTCAAAAACAATTTTTATATCTAGGGGTATTTTAGGAAAGTTTTGTGTTTTTAGCTTTCTTTCCAAGTCTTTGTATTAGAGTCAAAATCTTTTAGTTTAATATAAATAGAACTATGTTTACGTAAAGTTATATTGAGATTTTTAGCAATAATTTCAAGGTTAACAAGTAATTCATTTGTTCATGTTTTTTCTTCTTCTTTATTTAATTCATACATTGGGAACCAATGTCATATCAGGTAAGATAGTTATAACAATGGTGATAAGTGATACAAAACCCAAAAGTGTAAAATAAGAAATTTGTGAGTTACAAACATATAGTGGGTGATAATATGAGATTCTTATATCAAATCTATATTACGATAATGCTTCAAAAATGGTTCAGTAGACTAGTACAATAAATTGCTGCCAACCCATTATCAAGTTCTAACTGGTTTTGAGGCCCCAAATTAAATACCAATTGTTACATATAGTTTTCATTAGCATTGCTAAGGTATTGAAGTTGCTAAAATTGATGCATAGTGACGACAATTAGTTTTAACTTGACATAAAACGAATCGACTGGAATTTAAAAATCTGAGCGGAAAACAAATTGATTGAAATACAAAAAAAATAATGGTCGCAGCGGAATCAACTAAAAAAAAAAAAAAAAAACTACCCCATTTGTTCCATCATATTGATGCTATTTATTGAGTGCCTTATTTTTTGAACAAATTACTGAAATAGTCCATGTGGTTTGGCTAAAGTTGCACGTTTGGTCCCTATGTTTTGTTTTGCACTCGGACCATCTCCACGTTTTCTTTTTATTACCCGCCTGGTCCCTGGGTCCGTTAGTCGTCAATTCCAAACGTTAAGTCCCTCACGTGCTTCGCACATGAGGGGTATTTTCGTCATTTTATATAAAAAATCTATTAGAACACCCTTAAACCCCGATTCTCTCTATTTTCGAATACGCCCTTTCTTCTTCTCCTTCATTTCGTCTTCTTTGAAGTGTCGATCAACCCTAATGGAAAAAACCTGCAAGTGTGGTGAAGTTGGTGTGATACGAAGATCGACTACCAAGAAAAACCCTGGAAGACTTTTCTATTGTTGTACTGGAAAGGTAAGGACAATTTCTTCTTAAGTATATCTATATATCACATACCTTTAACACACACCAAATTACTCAAAATGCAGGGAGCAAAATGTGGTTTCATAGATTGGGTTGATGAGGACAACTTTAATGGTGAAAAAACTGAAAAAAGTATCTCCCCTGATTTGCAGAAGTCATGGATGAGCTTCAACATGAGAATAGGGCCTTGAGGCTGTTATTAGTGTTCAGTTGGGTTTTTTTTGTGTCAATTTTAATTTACAAGCTTTAATTTATGCTATCAATGTACTTATCTTTTGTTTCATCAAGGCAGTTTTCTAATGGGATGGAATTTAGTGGTTTGTAATGGAATGGAATTGAATTGACTGTTTTATAATGGAATGGAATTGAGTGGTTTGTAATGGAATGGAATTGAGTGGTTTGTAATGGAATGCAATTGACTGTTTTATAATGGAATGGAATTGAGTGGTTTGTAATGGAATGCAATTAACTGGTTTTCTATTGGAATGGAATTGAATTGAATGTTTGAATAGAATTGAATGGTATTGAATTAGAATGGAATGAATTGAATAATTGAATAGAATTGGATAAAATGGAATTGAATTAAAACAAAAACATAGCAACAGATTATAGCACTAATTGTTCATACCATAATTGAAAATAGAGATACATTAAAAGATCATAACACCATAATTGGTTCATAACACAGACACAAAATATAAAAACACAATCATAACTTAAGCAATACTCTTCCCTTTCTTCCCAGCCTTCATTGTCCTGCTTGAAATTCCATCACATGCACTTTGAGTTCCACTTTGCCTACCACCACCTACACTTTGAGCTTTCTTCCCAACATTCCCTTTCTTGCTTGAACTACCATCACCTGCACTTTGACCTTTCTTCCCATCCTTCCCTTTCTTGATTGAACTACCATCACCTACACTTTTAGCTTTATTCCCAGCTTTCCCTTTCTTGCTTGAACTAGTATCACATGCACTTTGACCTTTGCAGCTTCTTTTATTATGACCAAGCTTTTTGCATTTTGAACATGTCACACTCTTGTCCTTCCTTGATGCCCTACCACCCTTCACCATATCTTCTAATTCAACAGCTGATTTCCTTCTTTTCTTCCTTGATCTTCCAATAGGGACATGATGATTAGGAGGAAGCAAAGTGGTTGGACATGGAAACTTTTCCCACATTCTTCTTCCATTAATTGGTTCAATCTTGAAAGAATACATTTCCTTCCAAGTTTTTAACCAGTAAGTAGCATGAACCCATTCTTCAGGTACGCCAACATTCTGCTTATTTTTTCGCATGTCCCATATAGCAACAAGGGCATGTTTACAGGGTATACCAGTGAGTTCCCATTTTCTACAAGAACATGTGTGCTGAGCCATGTCTACCACACATTGGTCCATCCATGGACCACTCACCTGATATTTTCCATTCCCACAGAACTTACCCACACATTGAGTTGCATCAGATTTGTTTTTTTCAAGCACACTTGTTGCAGTTGGAGTTAATGGTCCAACAGCCTTATCAATTACCTTTTGGACACTAACAATCCTTAACATAAGGTACTCTCTAATGTACTCAAGGCATGTGATAATTGGTTGGTCGCGTGCTTTCTTAATTTGATTATTTATGGTCTCACACAAGTTATTCAGAAGCCCATCACAATGAGCCCTCCCTACAATATAAATAAAAAATTATGTAAGAAAGTGAATCATTTGGTAACAATTAACCCAACAAAATAAAACAAACCTGTGAAGTGTGCCCTAGACCAATGTTGAGGTGGAATAACTTTGACCCATTCGTAGCAGTCATTGTTTAGCTTTCTTAACTCTTCCATAGCATGGTTGAATTCTTGTATTGTTGTTGTACTTGCACAGTTCCACAACATGTCTTGGAACACCTTTCCCCTCCACATTTTCTTCATGTTTTCATGAATGTGTCGCAGACAAAACCTGTGTTCTGCACATGGATACAATGTACCAATTGCTTGCAACAAGCCCTGTACAAAAAGTAAACAACATTAGATGTAATGTATACATTGTACAATAAGAACCAAGTCCATTGAAATTACTTACCTTCTGTCTGTCAGATATAAAGGTAAAGTTGGAATTAGCTTGCAAATCAATGTCATCACCCAAGCACCTTAAGAACCAAGTCCATGAGTTTATATTCTCAGCCTCCACGACAGCATATGCCAAAGTATATATACAGTTATTTCCATCAAGACCCTAAACATAGTGAAGGAGTTAGTAATTTAAATAAAATGGAATAAAATGACACAAGATATGTGTTTACATCTTACCACTGCTGTGAGTATCATTCCAGGATAAGGCCCTTTCATAAAAGTCCCATCTAAACCAAGATAATCTCTTTTACCAGCTAGAAAACCTTTCTTTAATGGCCCTAGACAGATGTAGATCCGTTTGAAAGTTCTAGTCTCAGAAGATGGGTTTGGCTCACTTTCGACCTCTATCTTAACTGTTGTCCCTGGGTTTCGAGTGCGAAGTTCTTGAACATAGTCTCGTAGTGTAGTATATTGCCCTGCATAATCGCCCCTTACTTGATTCAATGCTTCTGTTTTAGCCCTAAATACCTTCATCTTCGAAATATCTACCTGGTATTCACGTTGAAGTTGTTCTTGTAAAGCTCGTGTAGGGACTGTAGGGTTGCTTTCAATCTGTTGCACAATTTTCTTTGCCAAGAACTTGTAGGTACAAGCTTTCACATTTCTTGTTTGTAGACATCTATGCTCTTTTTCGTAGGTCTTGATCTCCCAGTCAACATCTTGTTCCCACTTGCTAGCATAAAGTACCCATGGACAGTTGTTTTCTTCACTTTCTTTATTGCTTTGACTGGGCCCACATGGGTCAAGTTGACCAAGGTCTGGGATAGTACCTTTACAAATAGCTCTCACTCTGTTTTTGTCATTTTTTATGAAGTCTAGTTCCCTCCTTGTCTCCACAGCATGTTGTCTTATTGCATTTTTCAATTCTTCAGATGAGGTGAATTTTTGGTACACATAGAATGGATCACTAACTCTTGCTTCACTGTTTTCCATTGCCCTTCGGATTGCCTTAATTGACTTTCTTCACTTGTTGCTCCCACCTTCATCGGATGATGACTCATATAAGAATACCTCATTGTTTACAACCTCAATATCATCAATTTCCCTTGTTTCTGTTTCCTTGACATTTGACCCTCCAAGATCACCCACCCACTCTATATCTTCATCAATATTTAACAAAAACTCATTCATGTCTATCTCAGGTTCATCTAGGAGGTTATCTAAGTCTACTAAGAACTCACTATCATCACTATCACCACTATCACCACTATCATCAGCATCATCTCTATTGTCACTTTCATGAGTAATCCCTCCAGTTTCTTCATTTAGAAATTCATCAAATTCATCACATATACCTTGTGTTTCACATTGGGCATCAATTTGGGCACTTTCAGTTTCTTTTGTTGGCACAACATTTGGTTTACTTGATCCAATACAATCCTCTGTTTCAGTTTCCTTCCATTCCAAAAAAAGCCTTCTACTACACGAAGGTTGATCAACGATTTCTTTTATCCTAACTTTACTAGGGGTAGATGACATTGTATATGTATGCAACATTGTTTTACCATGTTCAACATAAACTTCAATCAGTTTATGTTGACCCACGTATGTACCCAAATGGTTAATGTCACTGTCACTAGCCAATGCAAACAACCCAAAGTCCAAATCTGAAAAGGGTCTTTTGAAGTGGTAATAAAGCAACTTACCCTCCTCAACACAGCCTAGGGTCTCCATCATCTCATCAATATCGTGCACACAAAACTCATCAATGTCCAATAGATCAACGTATCTTTCTTTGCCCTTGACGTACCTCCTTCCAGGAAACTTCGTAAACTCTCCACCATAGAATAATCTGATGGAGAAGATAGTTGGATGACCAGTTGTAAAAGAGAAAGCTTCAACTTATTAGCTTGAAATTTGTAAGTGATAAATTTAACTTTTGAAATTAAGGGGTTACCGTAATGGTTTTCAACGTTTATTTCTTCCATGTTTGCTCTAATCCTCCAACCCACCATTGTTGCTTCGATGATTCTTGCAAAATTTTGAGGAGTTAGGGTTTCTACTCGATTTTGATGAGTTACAGATTAAGTGAGAGAGAGAGAGTGTGTGTGTGAGAGGGAGGTGATCGTAAAATGATCGGAATGAAGAAACGATTGGCATTGCATTTAGGCGCCATGTATATAATGACGAAAATACCCCTCATGTGCGAAGCACGTGAGGGACTTAACGTTTGGAATTGACGACTAACGGACCCAGGGACCAGGCGGGTAATAAAAAGAAAACGTGGGGATGGTCTGAGTGCAAAACAAAACATAGGGACCAAACGCGCAACTTTAGCCAAACCACAGGGACTATTTCAGTAATTTGTTCTTATTTTTTTTATTATTTTTGTTTTATTATTTTATTATTTTTTTTGCAGGATCGGCTCAGATTGTCTTTTATAATATCCATGCTCGTCTTGAGCAATCGTATCTTCAAACGCTAAAACATATTGCTAAAAAAGTGTTTTTATTAATGATTTAACAACCAAAATATATGTTAACAACGCCTTTTAGATATTTCATAAAATTAGAAAATAGTCGATTTTTGATAATCTAGTGCTTTTTCGTTTAATTGGTACATTTATAATAATTGAAAATTTTAAGTCAATTGTGCCCTTTAGATTCAGAATCCAATTCTTGCGTTAATGTTTGTTTTTAGCTTTTGTTTTGAAGAAGATAGGATGAAACTAGAAGTTGTAGGCTTTTTTCCACAAGAAAGGAGCTTTTCTTAGTACGTGAATGAGACATATCCACAGAAAACAAAACTAGAAACACGTGTCTCTGTGACTCATAGTTGTCATGTCATCTTAATTTAAATTATTCTCTCTTTTATCATTAAATAAAATATATTTATTTATAAGAAAATATAATATAAGATCCATAAACTTAACAAAACCATTATACCATATCCATTATACACACGGAATAAAAGGACAACTATCATTTGATAAAGATCGGATATCATAATAAATCAGCAATCCCAAGAGTACCAAAGTCATGATTTTAAACTGTTTGTGACAAAAACACCAACAAACAAAGCAAATGCAAAAGGTTAAACGTGTTACGGT